TCAGATAAAGCCGGTCCTCAGATAAAGCCGGTCTTCAGATAAAGCCAGTCTTCAGATAAAGCCGGTCTTCAGATAAAGCCAGTCTTCAGATAAAGCCAGTCTTCAGATAAAGCCGGTCTTCAGTTAAAGCCGGTCCTCAGATAAAGCTGGTCCTCAGATGGTCCTCAGATAAAGCTGGTCCTCAGATAAAGCTGGTCCTCAGATAAAGCCGGTCCTCAGATAAAGCCGGTCTTCAGATAAAGCCGGTCCTCAGATAAAGCCGGACTTCAGATAAAGCCGGACTTCAGATAAAACTGGTCCTCAGATAAAACCGGTCCTCAGATAAAGTCGGTCCTCAGATAAAGCCGGTCTTCAGATAAAGCCGGTCCTCAGATAAAGCCGGTCTTCAGATAAAGCTGGTCTTCAGATAAAGCTGGACTTCAGATAAAAAATGGTCCTCAGATAAAGCTGGTCCTCAGATAAAGCTGGTCTTCAGATAGAGCTGGTCTTCAGATAAAGCTGGTCCTCAGATAAAGCCGGTCTTCAGATAAAGCAGGTCCTCAGATAAAGCTGGTCCTCAGATAAAGCCGGTCCTCAGATAAAGCTGGTCTTCAGATAGAGCTGGTCCTCAGATAAAGCTGGTCCTCAGATAAAGCTGGTCTTCAGATAAAGCTGGTCTTCAGATAAAGCCGGTCCTCAGATAAAGCCGGTCNTTCGAGCCTGACTGAACGTTTCCCTCCAGACGTTCAGGAGAATCTAATGAACAACCTGAAAGTTTTGGGCCTCAGATGTTCACGTCTCCACTGACGTCTGGATTCCCTTCATGATCTCAGCTTTTCAGCAGCTATTATTGATTTAATTTTAGACATTAATCGAGATAGAACCAAAGGGATCAATAAAGTTCTGTCTAATCTAATCCTCTATCTAATCTTACAGGTTGTGATCCTGTTCTGAGCAGTCTGACTATTTTATTCATCGATCTTTAGAAGTTAAAGTCCTGATCTGATCCAATCTTTTTAAACTCGGGTTAAATTGAACGTGTTGCACAAAGAAACCAGAATTTATTTGATTTGATTAATTAAATCCCTAAAAACTCATCTCTGTGTGTCAGAGTTACATATTTAGAAGTTTTTTCCATTAAAATATTCCCTTTTTGCCTTCAGATGGCTTAGATTTAACTCCACTCCCTGCAGCTCGAGCACACCAGCTCACCCACAGACCTGGTTAAACTCTGTGAAACGTTCCTGCACAACATGACGGTGTCATATCGGACTAAATCAGTCACACATGATCCAGAAGGCTCCGCCCCCGCGCTGACAGGATTGGTCGTTCAGGTTTGTGACATATGAAACCTCTGACGCCTGAATCCGTGTTCTTTAAACTGTCCTCAGTTCGCTGCAGTTTAAGGTAGAAACGAGCGACTAAACTCCTTCCAGCAGATAAAAAACACCACACGGACGTAAAAAAACAAGATTGATCAACTGAATCAACTTTTCTTGGGAATCGTTTTGTCATTTACAGCAAAGCAGCAGCTGGTTTTGGGGAGATTAAGATGAAAGTTAGCTGGAAAACATGGCCTCTGCAGGAACGGCGTGTTGGGACTCATTGTATAACACAAAAACTCTTAAAACAGACAGAACTAATGTAAGTTTTACTTTTATGGCTCAAACTAGATGAGTTTTCAAGGCGTTTGAAGCCAGATCACTTCGTTTTTGGCATCACTAGCCGGTTAATCGTTAATAAATGTTGGTTAAACGCTGTAAAGGCTAATTAGGAGGCAGGATTTAAAACAGAGACGCATCACTTCCCTTTTCACTGTGAGTGTAAATGTGCACATTAAAGACGTCAAACATCCGAAGCTGAGCCGCAAAACAACCGAAAAACACACGAGTTCAGAGGAATTCATCAGAGTTCTGGCTGCTGTTCTTCAGCTTCTGCTGCGTCTGATTCAGAAGAAGAAGTCGTGATATAAAAACCCTGAAGCTGGGGTACTGTGGCTGACTGTACTGGAGTAAATGTACTTAGTTACTTTG